CTTATATTTTCCTGTTAATAGATAGATCGAATAGAAATACCATTTTATCAGTTATGTGTGTACTACAATGTGTTGACTACATATACTATAATAGTTAATTGATTTCTGCAAAGGTCAGATACCATCTATGTTTGTTCTTGTAATGTTGTTTTTATTTGACTATGTGATAACATTTTACAGTAATTGACTGATCCCGTTAATTGCATTCATGTACAAGTATGCATTATATAGAATATATATCCAAATATGGCCTTTGAATTGATAAAACCGTTTTTATTCTATGAAATAGAAAAATATACAAATTGAAATAATAAAGGTTAGGGTGTAATTGCCTCAAACTCTAAAATGATATCTCTTTATCACATTTTTTAACGTTTTTATTCGGGAAAAGGTTTGATGCTTAATATAAACATTAAAGATTAAAGATTAAAATAATTAAAGCACCAGTTCAACTCATATTTGATGATCATAATAAATTTAAACTTAAGAATCCTTTGAAGTTCAGTATATTTTATTTTTTCTTCTCCGTGCATCTATATTGTCATTCCATGATGTTTACTTCTTAATATTGGTGAGAAGTGCTCTTGATGAAGGGGAGAGGAAGATAGTTGTAAAGAAAAAAACAAATTTTGTGTTGACTCAAAATTCACAATTATTCTGGTTAAATCGTAATTTGAAGAATGAAGCCATTATTTATACTCAACTTTTGCCTCGACTGTGTCAGATGTTGATCGCCCTCTTTCACCTTTATCGTCCTACAGTAGGGACCCAAAAGGATCAGAAGTAGGATATAAGACTTCTAAATGACGTAAATTATAGCAGTTGTCTAATTTTGTTTGATTTAATTAATGCTCTTCAAATTCGTACTCTTTTTGCCTTTTTAACAAAACGTGCGTCTGGCTTTTGGCATTTGGTATGTGGTATGATTGCCAATGAGACAACTATCCACCAGAGTCCAAATAAGTGGATTTAAGCAATTATGGTCACTTGGATGTATGCTCTATTTCTTTTACTTATGCATGTTTCTAATAAATTTTTGATTTAAAAATTTTTTTTGCAAAAAACTAATGCTTAAGCAGTGAGGAAATATTTGTCCGTAATTATTATCAAAACTCCTTATATTAGTGGTGTTTATTACGATTACACAGTAACCGTTTTGTTTTGGAGTGTTTTGATACCCGAGTTAACCTGACATTGTACAATCTTACGAGGGTCTGGATGGGGGTGCAACCTTTCTGTATTCTTTAATATTTTATGTGATTTTTCTCTTTTTTTTAGCACCCTATTATACTCCGTTCTTTTTTCATGGCCTGATTTGCTCTATTCATTTTGGGTGCCAATTTTTCTGCAGTATTTGTCCACTAGTCTCTATTCTGTAAACCCCATCCAGTCCCTCATCTTATTTTACGATACATCTGTTCTTTAGATTTATTATATAAATAAGAAGATGTGGTATCAGTGCCAATGAGACAACTCTCCATCCAAGTCACAATGTGTATAGAACCGCTTCGAAACTGTTTTTAAAGGTGTCAGGAGAACTGTTCTACGAATTGTTCTTAACAGTTCTATTGACAGTTTCCGACAGATTTAAATAAAGGTTATAACTGATCCCAACTGTAATTCTGTTTAAGTCTACTCCACTGTATTTTACTGTAAGTCTGTTTAAGTTTCCAAAGGCTACTCCACTGTATTTTACTGTAAGTCTGTTGAAGTTTCCAAAGTCTACTCCACTGTATTTTACTGCAAGTCTGTTTAAGTTTCCAAAGGCTACTCCACTGTATTTTTACTGCAAGTCTGTTTAAGTTTCCAAAGTCTACTCCACTGTATTTTACTGTAAGTCTGTTTACGTTTCCAAAGTCTACTCCACTGTATTTTTACTGCAAGTCTGTTTAAGTTTCCAAAGTCTACTCCACTGTATTTTACTTTAAATCTGTTTAAGTTTCCAAAGTCTACTCCACTGTATTTTACTGCAAGTATGTTTAAATTTTCAAAGTCTACTCCACTGTATTTTACTGTAAGTCTGTTTAAGTTTCCAAAGTCTACTCCTCCGTATTTTTACAACCAAAATAATCGTTAAGACATCAGGTGTTTCCGTCAGACTGCCAATCCTAACAGTATAGTATCAGATATATGATTTATAATTCTGCAAGAACAAAGCCTATTCGAATGGAACATTGGTATTAAATGAAAATAAAAATTTGATTAACTGCATACGAGACAATAGCTCAATGATGCATGATTGGTTTAATAAAGACGGTATTTCACATTCTATTGTAATTGAATATGATTAACTAAGCATGCAAATGAAAGATTTGTCCATGGATCAATTTATTTTTGACTAAGGTTATTGTTATACTGTTTATAAATTTTGTAATTATTTTGAATAATGATGAATCGTTTATCAAAGTTCAATCCTAATTGAATTGATATACGGTTTGCCCAAACCTACCAACAAACGAAAAATGTAACGAAATGTATGACGATGCTAGTATACAAAATTATTTTAAGAAGTATAGTGCCTATTTATTAAGGTATACGAAATCTAAATTCTATTATCAAGATACTTTAATTAACTGCGAATGTCTCTCTATAAATATAAATAAAAATGGTATCAATAGCAAGCGTTCGGTCTTCTCCATTAATATACCATTCACATTTTGGATAGACTTTGGTTGGTTTAGAGAACGGCAGATGGAGTGAGCGCTTTTTCACAAAAAATATCTTAAATTTGTTGATCATTAATTTTCCATATCGGCATTTTACACGTCCATTTTTATTCATACTTCTACTGAACACATCTACTCGCTCAACCTTAAAATATATTGATGTGTTTCGTGTTGCCCAACTCTTTCTCTGTATAGTTCTTATTGACTGTTGTTTGTCTCTTCCTAGTTTATTGCTTTCCGAAATAAATAATGGCAGGAGTATATAGTACCCACTCTGTTCGTCTGTTCGACCAATTAAAACGTTTTAAAGGTTATAATTTTCGTTCACCTTATAGATTTGTAATTTCAATTTTCACTTAATTTGTCATTGAATTAAGATATTACTCATCATATGTAAACAAATTTCCTGATGGCAACTTTATAACTTTGCAACATTACATCCTACTATGAAATGCAGGTCAAACTTCATGTTCAGTGTTACCGAAATTACCATTCAAGAGCTTCTGTCAAAAGCCATTGACTTGTCTATAAATAGTATAAATATTGGCTTTTACAACGATGACATTGGTTTGCTTTTAGTTCGGATATAAAAAAAAATTGTAGAGCTACAGTTCAAATAAGCTTAGATATGTTTATCATTGAAATTATAGCAGCTCAAAAACAAAACGATTTACGGATGATAACTTAGGCTACTTTGGAAGGGGAATATTGGTAAAATTATCGTAGGTTTGTCCCCTTTTCAACGGATGGTTGGAGCAAAGCCGCTTACAAATCAAGGGGGTTGCTGATTTATTATTTCAAATTGCTTGGTAGATTAACTTTTAAAACATCTGATACTTTTATTATTATATGAATGCTTCAAACTAAAGCTAGTGTAGCTTTCTATTGACGTATGCGTTTCAGGGTCAATCTTCGTTAGGAATGTTCCAAACCTTAAATAAGGAAAGCTAAAGAGGTGTATATAAACTAGGAGCTATATAGCACATGCAAATAATCATGTATCTTCACATCGTGTCTCCAAAGGAATTAACTACTGAAACACTAGTTGTTGATTTTTCCCGAATAACAAGATAATGTAGGTTTTCTCGTCTACTGCTGGTAACATAATGCCCGATCTTAACAATCTGATTACGTGTTGAAATTACGTGTTAGGAATTTTTTCTCAGTATAATTGTATTACCAATAACAAATATTAGTTTTTATTAAATCAGTGGTGATCGTAATTTTCAAGATGTGTCATAAAAAGTTTTTAGAGGATTAATTGATGGATGACGGCTTATCGTCTATCAGAAAACATTACTTGCGTATTCAGAATCATAACATTATAATCAGATACGATTATCATTATTACATGATTTTTACCTGACCGACAAGCTGATTGGTTTGAAAAGGTCGACATATTATGTTTGACATAATCAGACGAATTAATCTTCGAGTCGTCCATTCTTTGCTCTTACTCCTATATTTTACGTACTTGACAGCAAATACTTGGCTGCGAAGCAGCAAATACAGTGAAGCATTTAAAAGGCTTTAGTATAACCGAACCGTGTACCGAACCCATAACCTCCCACAATAAGGCGAACATGCTACCACAAAACAGCCAATGCATTTTGGCAACGTTTGATAAAAGATCATTTTAGTCCCTTGAATTGAAATATAAGAAAAGTATAATAAATCTATCAAAAAACACTCATAAGATGTTTCTTAGATGTGTTAATATTTTTGTTATTTCTCCAGCACTTCGCTTAAGATTATAAAAGTTTTAGCATTTAAGAAAAACACTGGAAAATGACCCTGTCAAAATAGCTTCATTTTGAGATCTGGTGACTGGTATAGATGATATGTCGTATCCTAAACTCTTTCGTCAAAAATTACGACTCGGGCTAATAGAACAAATTCTTGACTATGTATATGCAGCCACGTCTTGTCGGAACTTGGACGTTAAATGTTATGCTCTTTGTATGTTGAGTTCCCTTGCATCAACTGTTTCAGGAGTCCGAAGGTGACTGTTGAGAAAATTTATGCCCCTAGAACACATATTCATTTTATCTGTTAATCAAAATTTAATCGATCATCTAATACAAAACTTTGACCATGGGCCTGATACAGGTTAATTTGGAAATCTTTAAGTTACTTATTTTGTTATGCAGCCTATTGAACCTTTATTCCTGGTATAGTTATTGATTTTCAACTGAGGGTGACATCGTTAAGATAGTTATGACTTTTGATATTGTAGAATTTTTAACAAAGTAATCAATTATATATACTAACTAAATAATATTTCCCATAAATATATTAAGGACTGATCTAAAACGAGTAATCTTTATGTTTCAGACTGGTCATTAAAGAATGAATTAAAGACTGGAACCTGAAAATAATGAATTTAAGCGAAGATTACGGATTTATCAATGCGACTCCTAATCCATGCTATGTGATTATAAACTCCACCCATGTCTACGATATATGTGGAGAGATACCGATACATCAGTGTACACTCGGAAATGAATCGAAGATTTACAGTAACTCAACACTACCGGAATACAACAACAGTGTAGTCATTCGGACATTATTTCTGGTTATACTAGTCCCTGCTATTTTGGGTATCATCTTGACCATTATCGTTCTTAGCCGGAAACACATGTGCACATCGACAAATTGTTATCTCATATCACTTTCAGTGGCAGATTTGGGCTTTCTTATTTTACTGTCTACAAAATGGCTAGAAACGGAAGTTTCGGACTATTTAACTTTCGATATTTATTATAGATATGCGCAAATTTTTATCGATACATTCCTAATGGCTTCCATCTGGATAACTGTGATGCTTGCGATAGAAAGATACATAGCTATATGTCACTCACTCAGAGCTAATGTTATATGTACTGTAAGACGAGCTGTAATTATCAATGCTGCTGTTTTCTTTATTTCATTTGCATGTAGAATTCCGAATTTTTTCGAATACAGTATTAAAACGGGATGGTCTGATTTTGAATGCGTAGATAAAAAGTATATTGATTGGACTCGACTTGGCAAAAACACTAACTACAAAATAGTATATGCTTGGGTGTTCGACTGTATCTTGTGTGCTACAGTTCCATTTTTGGCACTGTTGTATTTAAATATGAGACTGATTCTGGAAATTAGAAAATCTACTCATTACCTTATGGATACATTAGGAAACGGTTCAAACCTTTCTAACGTACTAGGAAGAGAACAAAGGCGTGTAACTCTCATGTTGATCAGTATAGTCATAGTATTCTTTATTTGTCAGGCACCATACGTCAGTATTTCAGCTTACCAGAGTATCCAACGTTACAGCACGACAGGTTTAACCTTCCATGCCATCAACACGGGCCGAGATATAACTATATTTTTGTTAGCGTTCAAATCTGCGCTTAACTTTATTCTTTATTGTTGGTTCAGTGAGAAATTTTGGGATACGTTCAAGAAAGAACTATGCAGGAAAGTGTGTATCTTTTTCAAACGGAATCGTGATATGTTCAGTAGCAGGACTAACTCTGATACGCATCATAACTCGACACACAACAAATCGTTACGTAAATGTTCAGCTCCTGCAGTCAAAGAGGTATCTGTACAAATGAAAGATGTTCACTCTTAGGTTTTGTAAACGTAGCATATGACTAATGGACACTTTTGAAGTCTGTTTGAATGCATTTGGTAAGGATTTCCTTGATGAAATATGCATTCATTGGCATCTGTAAAGTTCACCGTAGTCCTCGCAAACCAAAGTATTGTTCACATTTTATTGGTTGCTTTCAATAACAAATATAATTTTCCTAAATTCACCTTAACGTAATCAACTATTCAATGAAAGTGGTTCATTTCCATTACGATTAATTCTACAATAATTTTACTTGTATATACTTTGTCGTACTCAACAAGCGTAAGTCGCAATATTAAGGCATTTTGATGAAGAGGAAATATTTGCCTGATGACAAAATGGCGGAGTCCCACTTTTTTGTAGCAAATTGAATTTATTTGTCATTAACATTTAGCTTTTAGATTACAGATCTTATTAATTTACGACTAGAAAACAATTTACAATATAGCTATATGTTATTAGTTTTCATTACGATTGAGGGTTTGTGATATCTGAACTGCCATTTCAGCTGTCTAAAAGTCATACAAGAACGAATATGCTAAGATTGTCCGTAAAAAAAAACATGATATCGAATGAACATGTAGAACAGCTTTTAAATTTTTTGAAAATATGTTATTTTTTTGTTATAAGTATTTGACAGAGGTTTACATTTTTCCCGCCGCAAAAATATGAAGCTTAATTATATGCAGCATACTATTTATTTATAGTAGAACGTATCCACAATTTAGCGCGTAATAATTCCCACTATTGCAATAATGCAATATCACTTAAAACTAGCCATGTTATACGATAACATATTTTTAAATAACATTTGTATAGCAAATAGAGTTGAAATAATATAGCATGTTAATCAAGAGTTTAAATGCCTTGCTTGCAAACTTTGTTTGGTTGTTTGCTCAGACATTGTAATTAAGATTGACACCTAAATTCAATGGGTAGGCAGAGTTACAGTCTATTTACTCTATACAAAGGTTTGATTGGTCCATGAATATCAAAATTGTTTCCAGTTAGGCATCTGAATCATAAAAAGAATCATGGGCTAAAGGGGGTTCAGGAAAGGTAAAGTTAACCAATTTTGAAATGGAGTAAAAACGTAAAGCATGAGCAGTTTTAATTCAAACTATAATGTTTACATGAAATATTATTTCTTGTTACTTATTACAGAGACATATAATATATGTCTCTGCTAATTACAAAAAAATTTGCACTTTAAAATACGATATATATTATAAAATAAAAAAATAACTTCAGATCACTTTGATGAAAACTGTTTGAGAAATCAGTGGCTCGAAATGTTCTAAGAGTCAATGCAGTAGTCGTTATAAAGGGAATATGACCATCAATATTATAATTCGATAATTACAATAATTGTACATTTACTAACTTTTATTTAAAATAAAAATAGTAACACAATTTTTAAAACTCATTCTCTTATTTGCTTAGTGTTTTAAAATTTGACAATAATGCAATAAGAAATGAAACCATATTCCTGCCACATTATTAATTATTTGATATACAAGTTTCCATCTAGAAAATTAATAGTTCCCAATTCCCATTTCAATTTTTATGACGATCTAGTTCTTTAAATATTTTGGTGAGAAATGAAATCTATATTATTTCGTCATTACGATCCAAAAAGAAGCGAGAAATCCGAAACCAGTCAAAACTTTTAAAATTATTTGCCAACAGTTTATATTTATATATTAAGAATAAAGCAATTGTGTGCAGAAAACTTTTCATTATCATATCAAATAAAAACAATCAAACCATCAAATCTTGCTTTACTGTAAAAATTGTATTATTATTAATTAGTTTTCAAAATTGGTTCACATTTAGCTAACTATTTGTTTTTTTTGTATACAATTTTAGTGCCTGACTGGAAACAATATGATATCCATTGTCCAATCAAATCTTTTTATGTAGTAAACAGACTGTTACTCCGCCTTCCCATTGAATTTAGGTGTCAATCTTAATCACAATGTCTGAGCAAACAACCAAACCAAGTTTGCAAACAAGGCATTTAAACTCTTGATTAACATGCTATATTATTTCAACCCTAAAAGGTTTCTGAACGTTTAATTACATGCATTTTATGAATATTAAAAAAAATATTAATCGCACTTGCACTTCTCGGGAGCACTAACCCTTTTGTGTTGTGTATGAGCAGAAATATGTTAATATTAGCTAACCAAAAATAAATTCACCAACCTTGATTTTAAAATAATTTGTAATCAGACTGTATGATGTGCGATGCATTTTCAAAAATATTCATCAATTCAAAATATAAAAAAAAAACATTTCTTGGGGTCTTCTTTGTTAGACAAACACATCTTATTAACATTTTCATAAAGATATAGTTTATAGACTTCGTCAGGTGGTACATGCGAATGTGAAGGAGATTAGATCTAGACTAGTCTTTATCCCTACATTTATATAAACAAGGCTACTTTCCCTCTGTATTGTTAAATTTTCTTCCTTGGCTTGAAGTTTTGTGAACATATACCACAAAATACACTTATGTGTGAATATTTTTTGGACGACTATTGTGTTACAGTAGCATAATTTTACACATGGTCGAATCAAATAGTCAAGATTTTGTCATTTTACTGAATTCACGTATACTGTCATTTTATTATGTGGAAGGGTAAAAAATGTTTGTTAGCGACCCACCCTCTCCTAACATGGTACAAAGCTGTAACAATACAACATAAGAACATAACATCTTCTTATTTATAAATAATGTAAAAAACAGTTGAAAAGGGCTTAACTCATCAAATCGATACAAAGAACAAAACAACGAACAAAAACATTAAAGACACATAGTACGAATCTGAAAGTACTCGCAATTACTGAAAGCTAGTTCAAAGCTAATAACAACTAATAAAAAATTAAAATATCATGTATCTAAGACTAAAATATCAATTATTACCCATCCAACATCCCGTTGATTTGTTAAGGTGATCATAAGTAAGGTCGCTGAATTCTCTGAATGTAATAAATCTTTAACATTAACATAGGGGCTCAATGTAGAAATATGATTCCTTTGACTTGGATATATTTTTAACTGTGTATATGTATTTTTCGATAAGCTTTTAATGTAGATGCCATTATAAATAAAGGCAACAGTAGTATACCGCTGTTCTACCGGACTAGTAGAATCCTCGGGGACAGTACTTTCCAAAAGCAGAGATTCCGATCCGTAGGTGATAAATAAATGCAACAGTAGTATACCGCTGTTCAATAGCCATATCTATTCTACTTGTATTCATGCTGTTAGGCTACCGGACTGGTGGAATCCTCGGGGACAGTACTGTCTACCAGCAGAGATTCCGATCCGGTGGTGATAAATAAAGGCAACAATTTTTTGACATTATTTGACATTCTTTTTTTCCGAGTAATTGATAAATATTTTATTGCAATTTATTTTCCCATTTAAAAGTTAAGAGTATAGGATGAAGGTTGTCACACAAGTAAATTTTACTTTCACCCTCACATCCTATCCTACATGTCACAAGCCAGGATCCATCAATGTTTGACTTAAACCGTCACATCCTATTCTACATGTCCCAAGCTAGGACATCATCAAAGTTTGACTTCCACCGTCACATCCTATCCTATATGTCTCAAGCTAGGACCTCATCAATGTTTGACTTCCACCGTCACATCCTATCCTACATGTCCAAAGCCAGAACCTCATCAATGTTTGACTTCCACCGTCACATCCTATCCTACATCTCCAAAGCCAGGACCTCATCAATGTTTGACTTCCACCGCCACATCCTATCCTACATGTCCGAATAAGCTAGAACCTCATCAATATTTGACTTCCACCGTCGCATCCTATCCTACATGTCCCAAGCCAGGATTTCATCAATTTTTTATTTCCACCGTCACATCCTATTCTACATGTCCCAAGCCAGGACCTCATCAATGTTTGCCGCTCTTTGCTTTTGTTCGTTAATTCTTTTTCGTCGGCAGTCTCTTTTCAATTCATTCATAACTTGACTAATTTTATTCAGGATAAGGACTAAAATTTTTCCTACCAGGTTAACGCCATTTTGAATTTAAGTATATAACAAACATGTATTGTGATTAAGGATTACACAGGAAACCGATTCCGCCAATCCACACAATACCCGTTTATGGTAAATCTGTTATAATTGGCACAGGACGTTTGCGCTGTTTTTACCTGTATTACGAAAAGACATTTGCGCTCCAAAAACTGTGGACAGTTGCGCTTTAAACTTTGATACACCTTTACGAAATTGACGGGAAATTTTTATTTTTAAAAATTTACCTTTAAACGGAGTTATTATTTTTACATATACGACGAATGTATGAGTTATTACGTTATGTTATAGATTTTTATGGATGGAAGCTTCCGTCTTGTTTATCTTGACATGACTGAACGGACTGAATACTATAGATCGGAACAGCGTCTGAAAGTCTGAACAAGTCTCTTGTGGTAAATTCAGTCGATTAAGACTTGATCAGACCAAAATGGCCATTTCAGACTAAAATCTTGCTACTGGTGACAATGTAGAGCATGTGAAACGTTACTTAAAGACTATGTTAACCTCTAGATATTCCGTTGCATTATTTATATTCCTGAATTGCTTTTTGTTTTCATTAAGCCAAAACTTCTTAAATGTACCGGTATATCATCATGGAGTGAGAGGCGACGACACTTTTAAACGATGCCATTCTTGTGGCGCGTGCGTTGTTTGTGTGACATATACCGATCTAATATATAGGGTTTTGTCAGTATAAATAAGTATATACCGATACTAAATTTGATATGCATGTTTCTAGAATAACCTTTATCAAGTTTATTCGATGTCTAAAGGTCAAGTACTCATAAACTAATAAAATTACAGAAGAACCAAACATATAAAATATATATAAACAGCATAAAACCGTTGAAGACAACTGACATGAACGTGATGAACCTTACGTTTCTCGATAATGTTACCATTTATAATCCGTTCTTGGTTAACAATTATGTCATGTTGATCAAGAAGCAGCAAAAAATGAACTATAGTTATTTCTTCCGTCTAAGCACAATTATGTCAGTGCCAATTGCCAATTTAAAGCAAACTTCAAGTCTCTGTATGTGGTAACCATAATTTTAAATAATCCCAAATGTTAATTCATTAATGTCATTAACTTATATCATTATCAAATAAAATGAATATTACAATTGACAATCAAATTATACGATCAGTATTTGTGAATTCATTACAATGTAATGTCTGATAAATAGCAACTTCAGTTGTTCAAATAAGGAATGTATCGACAATTGACATTTCAAAATGTTGTATTCTATATATACATGCTGTAGAAGTATATACACTGTATAGGTTTAGTACGAAGTGATAGACTTTTATGCCAATGTACATATCTGCAAATATTATGGCAAATTGTGTACTCTGCTCTACTTATATGTATAAAAATATTATATATTTATATGATTATTGTTAATTAATCTTGTTGTACATGAATAAAATCATACCAATAAAATCTCTGTATTTGTACGTTCTTGACCTTACTGATACAAATATCAATGCATCGATATAAAACAAGACAAAAGTACACCACTGTCCCAGGCTAGGAAAGAATTGACCACTCACAAACATGTTTAACCCCGCGACCTTATTTATGTGTCTGTTCAAAAGTCAGGAGCTTGAAATTTAGTTGATGTCGTTGGTTGCTGCATCTCTGTTATAAATTATGCCGTTTGGTTCTTGTTTGACTTTTTTCAGATTTATCGTGTCAAGGCTTATTATAGCTGACTATACGTACATTATTGGCTTTGCTCATTGTTGAAGGCCGTATGGTGATCTATAGTTGTATAAATCCACATTCTACTCTGACGGATAGTTGCATTTGCAATCACAACACATGTCATTAGTTTTATAAATCTAAAGTTTTTTTAAGAGATCATCTTCCACATTGTCATCATGCTTGATTCTACAAGAGCAAAGTTTGTGATACGAGGAATGACTAGAGCACATCATTAAAATTGAGAATGGAAATGGGGAATGTGTCAAAGAGACAACAACCCGACCAAACATATATGTATGATGTGAAATAACAAGTAGTTAGACACATTATC